TGGGGGGGGGGGGGGGACGTATGCGGGAAGAACGGCCAGGTGGAAAAGAGGTTGCAGAGCGATGCGACCAATTTCGAAACGCTTGTATTTTTCTGAACGGAACGACGTTGGCTCACGGGGCCACGTGAGCATTGCAATAGGCACCATCAGTCAGAATGGAGGGCAACTTTGCTGCCTACTACGAGCAGCAACGGCTCCGGGTGCGTCTATTGCTGACCGCCTGTTGCTGTGCGAATGTCCTCGCATTGTGTGCTCATGCAGGACTGGGCTTGTGGAGCAGGCGATTTCTGCCACCGAGGAAGCCATCCGTGAGCGTCGCGCCATCAGAGACACTTATGAATCCGTTCACACCACGCTGGGCGAACTGCCCAAACGAGTCGCCCATCCCATTATGGTACGTGCCCGCAACCTTTGACATTCACTCGAAAGAACTGTGCCTGTGGTATCCGGGCTCCACACGCGTTCCTTGCCCTCACCTCATCATATTGCTGAATAACAGGTGCCGTTTGGGCGCAAGGCCTTCATGCCGGGCAAGCTGGTCCACTGCAATGAATTGACTGTGTTGATTGGAGACAATTACTTTTTACGCCGTACAAGCTACCAAACGCAGGATATCATCCAGCGACGCCTGACAGGTTGGTCGAATCTTCTTGGTGGGCAACGCTGCGCTTGCGGCAATTGGCACAAGTGGACCCCTTGCTTTGCGCCATCTGGGCTTGTTCACAAGCACACCCGTGTCAATTCAGAGCTGGACAAGGCACTCGAGCAACTCCAGCACGAAATGGAAGGTCTACAGCTGCGCTCGGACGTGATGCACGAAGGCAAGGGTCAGGGCGCCAACACAGACGTGAGTCGGACCAACTTGCTTGCTTGCTCTTGACCTGCCCACGCCCCGAAGAACATGGCCCTCAGTTCACCCCGCCCTCTTTTTTTTTTTTTTTTTTTTTTTTTTTTTTTTTTTTTTTTATGTTCAGTTTTTGGACATTTGTGAGCCTCTCGATGAGCCATTCAACGAGCGACCTACCGGCAAGACCCATGCCAACGAGCCGCCCGTGACCCAAGCACCTGTAAAAGCCGTTCAGCCTTCCCCAAACCCCACTTCTGGCACCAAGCCACCCCGACCTGCACCGCCACAGGCCAAAACCACACCCGCTGTGAGCTCGCCGGCTGCTGGCTCCGCGCCGGAGCAACCCGCCGAGCCAGTCTCGACCACAAACAACCAAGACAGCACACACCAAAAACAGGCATGGGGCGATGCCCTGGCTTCCTGGCTGGCGCGGGCAGCCGAGCTTGAGGCTCTGGAGGATGAATTGGACAGCGATGACTACGATGAGGAGGAAGGCCTGGAAGAGCGTGCCCGCCTCGAAATGGCCGGTCTACATGTTCCTGAGCGAACCCCCGCGCAACAAGCCGCCATTCTGAACGACTTTGCCGAGTATGATAAGTTTATGGACGAAGCTACTGCTCGGGCCGAGGCTGCCCAATCCAGTCCTGCTAGCACTCGGTCAGCCCCCACAGCAAACCATCCCACGTCGACGGCCAGCACAAAGTAGGTCTTGCCCGATTGGTTCCACTTGGCAAGCCAGCCTTTATTCTGACCTGAGATCTTTCGTGTCTCTCTGCCTGCGCCAGAACCATCAAGTTTCGAAGCTCGGCGCCCAGTCAGCCCGTGACATCAGCAACCACCTTGGCCAAGGCTCAGCCGCAGGCCCAAGTGGTTTTTGCATCACCGGCTGACGTCGCAGCAGCGGCGGCAGGTGGAGGCTCATCATCTTCAGGCCCCGTGAAACGTGTCTCTTTTGATGGGCAAGTCCAGCCAGAAAGTCACCCACCCCCGCCTCATCGTTCGGGGTCCATCCTAAAAAATGTCCCCATCCGTCCTGGCACCGTGCCCGATCCGGTGCAAAAGCCCCAGCGCCCGCCCCCTCCCCGCGACCACTCCCACTCCGTGCTTTTAAAGGCTGCTGCAAGCCCAGCCACAGCCTCGGATCAATTTCACACCAATGCCAGTGCAGCACCATCACGACCCCCGCCGCCAAATCGTGGTAACCCTGCCATCGCCGGTCAAGTCGTTGAACGCGCGTCAGCCGGTGCCGTCACCGAGCGCGTCGCAGAACGCAAGGGCAATCCTACCCTCCAGGGAAGAGTCAGCGAGCGTACCCCAACACAACGCGATCCCAACCACCGTGACCTTGCTGGTCGAAGCGTTTTTGAGCGTGACATGTCGACGCGCCAAGTGAGTGACTTGCCAACAGCATTTGGGCCACCTGACTTGTGCACAGCCACGTTCTACGCAGAATGATACACCACTCGTGTTTTCGCGCCGGCTCTGCTGCATGGCATGCATCTTTGCCTTTGCATGATCGGTGTACACTCTCCTTGGCATTGTAAGCTTCTCACATGAAGCATGCTGGTGCAGATTCTAACAGCCCAGGCTCAAGCGGCACTGGCAGAGACGGCCTTGCTCGAACGTATGGCCCATGAACATGATGATGCGCCGGTACGTGCTTGCCTCTTTACTTCCTTCCTCGCTCGCTCTCAATCTCTCGATCTCTCTCGATCTCGATCTCGCGCGCTCCCAAACACAAGCCTGCCTGTAAGCGCACGTGTCATGCGTGCGTTGCCTCTTTGCAACTCTAGTTTGTGCCCCCGGAAGACCCCGCGGAGGGTGTGCCCGTTGTTCAGGCAGGTGCTCTGCGGGCCCAGAAACCTGCCAAAAAGAAGGGTAGCCTCTTTCGCCAGCAGATGCAATCACAATAGTGCATCGCCGGAGTTGGGCGTGGTACCCCTGTCTCCCTGTCGCGCTGCATTTTGAGCCGCGACGTGAGCCAAACCACGGCGCCACCCCATCCTACTCGTCTTCCTAAATTGAATCGAACACATGAGTTTCACGACTGAGATCTTTTTCTTTTTTTCTTCTTCTTTTTTTTTAACGCTGGTTGTTTCAATTCCTTCGCCTTCTCCTTCTCAGTCCAGTCCCAGCACATCACTTTTTTTTTTTTTTTTTTTTTTTTTTTTTTTTTTTTTTTTTTTTTTGTTCTATCAAATTTTTCAAGTGTCATGTGGTTGATTGTGGTGTTATCGGGTCTACTGATCCTGCTCTCGCTCGTCTCTCTCTGTCTGGTCCGATTCGTGATCCAGACGCCTGAGCAAGGGGAGCAGCAGAACATTGATGCCCCTCAGCCACGCCAAGCAGCAGCCATGCCTTCAGCTGAAGACGACCCACAGGCAACTCCACACCCAGATGCAAGTTCCACGCCAAGCACAAGCCCGACCCCAGCGCCTACTCCTGCCATGGATTCGCTCACCAGCATCAGCCTGCCCGTGTTCGGCTTTGTGCCCACCCCTATGGGACCCGTCTATGGCTACTGGTCAGCAAAGCAAGAAGCACGCGACCTCGCCGCTTTTGCTCCGCCGCCGCCCACGATGTCCCGGGCACAGTCAAGAAGAGCCGGAGGCCTCTGGCCGTCCGAGCACACGAACAGAACGGCACGACTCGACGTGCCCTCTCCCCACCCTCGGCCCCCAGCCCCCTCGCCCAGAGGCACGCCAGCACCTTTGGATGATGCCAATCAACCTCGTACGCACCTCCCCTCCCCAAAGCTTACCATGCCCTGCCCTCAGCGCATCGCGATACAACACTGACAGGACGCTGTGTGTCTTGATTAGGCATGTTTGATCGTGTTCCGGATGCGGCACTAGCTCTTCGAGCTTTAGCCGAAAGCCTGGACCTCATTTTTGTGGCTTTTATCGTTGCAGCGGTATGCCTCACTGCTGCCACGAGCACGCTTCGCGCTGTCCCCCGTCGTTCCTCACAAACGTCTTTCCCACTTTTGCAGCTTGGTGCAAGCGAGCTTTTGCAGGTGGACCTTTGTAAGTCAGACGTTGCACTGCTGAAGTGGTCGTCTTGGGCTGTGGGAGAAGGGGAGGAGGTGTCCTGGCCGTTATTTGTATGGCCTCTTTGCCAGAAAAACAGCTTGTCGTCCGAAGCTCATCACCGCTTGCGCTTGGCCCCAGCCGAGTACGTGGACGTGGATCTCACGGAAAGGGATGTGATGGTTCTTCTCGATACGCTCGTGACCATGGCCATGGACGACATCATCATGTACTACCTCCTCTATATTCTGTACCAAGGTGCCGTGGCTTATTATTGAGCCCCCTGGACGCTCCGCTTTCTTGTCTGGCGCTCGCACATGTGCCGATCCGGGAAACAGGAACGTCTCACCCTGCTGGCCCAAACGTTCGCGTGCTTAGTGATATTTGTGTTTGTGTTTTGCTCGACACCTGGCAAAATGGCATGTGGACTTTGTCTGATACCCTCCGACGCGCGTGGGCGCCTCACATTGGTCAGTCAAAAATACGATTAGGTTTGGCAGACGAGTGAAAAGAATAACCTTGAGATTCTGCAGCGGCTCACAATGACGCTCCATGGCGTCGGGCCACGTGCACAACAACAGGCTGGCATTGTAGGGCGCGGGGTGATCAAAACACTGTTATTGGGGTGTGCCAGCTTTCTCCTCTTGGCCCCGCTCTTTTTTGCTGATGGCCGCGGCATTTACGACAGAGTTTGCCACATGCGCGTCGTTAGCATGGCTGATTTGCGTCGCCACTTGGCGCGCGTCGAGCTGGAGCAGCAGCAACATGCCGCCCGACAACGTCCAGCACACTGAGCCCGAGCCTTGTTTGCAATGGAAGAAAATGACTACACAGCGGACTCAAGGTGCATGTGAAGCTTGATTCGGGTGGCTTAGCAGGCCTCCTCGTCTCCAAAGCCATCAAACAGTTCTGAGACCCTGTTGTCTACCCGCTGTTGCCGGGTGCTCTGCTCGGAAGAAGCACGAGTGCTGCTGCCACCAAAGCTATCATCAAGTTGGGCAATTGCATCCAATAGTCGCTGGCCACGCATCACGTGGTCCTCGTCGTCCTCATGGGCACCGTCATAGTGATCAAAGGCATCGTCATCGGGCTGTGATCCGCTGAAAGGGGCGCTGCGCGCCGTTTCTTCAAATCCCTGGGCGGAAATATCCTGCTCGTCAAGCGATTCGTTGACTTGGAAGTCGTCAATTGCATCCAAGTCCGTCTCATCCACGGCTGAGCGCGCCTGTCCCTCGGATTCTGATGATGCAAGGCACCCCATAGATGCAAAGTAAGATGCAACAGCGGGAGAGATGTGAGCTCAGCAAAGGCATGACAATTAGGTTGAGCCCGATTATAAGACGATCGAACGTACTTTTGGGAAGGCTGGCCAGCATGAGTTGGAGCGCATTCAAGTCAATCGGTGCTTCAACAAAACCAAACTCATCGTCATTGCCAACATCAAAGCCAAATTGGTCGTCATCACCAACGCCTCCACGAGCTTCAGTGGGCACAAACAAGTCTGCCCCATCACGGCGAACAAAAAGATTGGAAACACGACGACGCAAACGGGCGGCCAAATTGAGGCCAGATGTTTGGGAGCGGCGTCGAACAGGGGACTCAAGATCAACGTCGGCAGACTCGGCTGAAGCGCCAAGGGCGGCGGTAGGAACCAGATCTGCCGCGCCAGAGGAGGGACTATCAGCATCAATGTCCACGACGACGCTTTCCGGGCGCGAGGCTTCGGAGGACGTGCTGCCCCGACCAAAGGGGGCCGGCCGACTGGTCGCGTCTGCAGCTGCCTCTGGTTTGCGCCCAAAAGGGCCTGGTCGCGCGGGGGCTTCGTCGCTGGCTGAAAGCGGCCTGGGACTGCCGCGTGCAAAGGGGCTGGGGCGAGCTGCTGCGCCGTCTTTGGGGCTGCGAGCAAAGGGGCCTGGTCGAGCGCTGGGTGCGCTTTGCAAGGAGGAGGCAACGGCAGGTGATTCTGTTTGAGACTTGGGACGGGCGCCAAAGGGACCAGGCCTGCACATGTTCAAAGAGGCGTGAGCGCGAAAGAAAGAAGGAGGCGGGAGCAGAAATGGGAGAACACTTGAGCTTGAGCAACATCAGCGTGCACAGCACCTGGTGGGCGACGGTGAGGCTTGGCCGGGCGCATCGACATTTGTTTCGCCGAGCGTTGTCGCTTTGGCCTTGGCAGCCGAGTTTGTATCATCTTCGTAGCTAGCCAGCAGCTCCAGCTGGTGTGTCTGCTGCGCAATGCTGTTGGAACGGCCACGCAAGCCGACGGGTGCCTAATGGAAATGAAATCCGCATCCTAAAACGTCAGAACCAATCGAAATGACCGTGCAAAAGCATGCCAAGTAAAATTGCTTACGCTGTGATACAAGTCAGTCCAAGCATCATCCTTGCCGTTTTGACGCTTGCCGCGTCGCAGCGATGACATCCCGCGCATGGTGCTATCAAGCATGAAAAATCAAAGATGTGATGAGCAAGAGCCAAGAGTGCAGAGATATTGCTCGATGACCAAGCCCTATGGCCCCAATGACCCAGCCACTGGCACGGATCGTGCCCTGGCCCGCTGCCGAAAAGAGCCGCGAGCCACAAAACAAAAGCATGCGACACCTGGCGCAAGGAAAAGTCAGAGACACAGATACGCTTTGCATACCGCTTGGCCAGTGGATGGAAGGTTTCGCCCTCGGCATCGACCATGAGAGCCATGACTGCGTCGCGAGGCGAAATGTGAACGCCCTGCGACTGCTTCTTCTGCACGCGACCAATGGCCGCCAGTGCCGTGCTCATGACCTCATCCTGCTGCATGTCCTCGGCCAAGTTGGCAAGTTGCTTGAAAACGGCAACGGCGTCATCGAAGCGACCAATGGTCTCGAGGACCTTGCCCTGATTGAGCAGGCCGTACACGAGACCTTCGCGGTTGTTCAAGGAGGACACGATGGCAATGTGGCGCTCAAAATATGCCACCGTTTCCTCAATGTGGCCCAGTGTCTTGTGCAAGTGCCCCAGATTACTGCGCGCGTCAACAGCAAAGAGAGCGCAAGGTGAAAAAAATAGCAAGCACAACGCCCGGTAAGGATATCATGAGGCTTCGGCGGGTGCACTTGACAAGGGCTGGGTGGGATTGGGAGTGCTCCAGCACGTCGAACAACAACAGGACCGCTTTTGTTCACAAAGACATGACAAACCTGCAGGTAATGGCTTGGCTCATAGCATCGCCCAGGTCCTCGGCGATGCGCAGGTCAGTGAGGTAACATTCAATAGCGCGATCGTCCTGGTGAAGGGCGTGATAGGCATTGCCCATGTTGCACCAGGCGCGCCCCTCGGCAGCGCGATCATTGCATTTTTCTGCCAGCTTGAGACGGTGCTGGTAGGCCTGGATAGCTTTGGTGTACTCATCGAGTTGCTCGTAGACGACACCAAGACCACCGTAAGCACGCCCTTGCATGACAATGTTTCGATGGCGCCTGTGCGAGCAAAGGCGCAGGCACACCCGGTAGTAGTTGATGGCCTTGGCAAAGTAGTCCTGAGACGAGTTTGGAAGGAAAGATGGGTGAGGCACATCGGATAGGAGCTGGGAAAAAGGAACCAAGCAGATGGCAGAGAGGTAAGATGGATGGGATGCTTACCTGGGCAAGCTTTTTGTTGCCCTTGGCCAACCACGCAGCAGCGACCTCTTGGTAGCTGCGCGCCAGGTTTTCGGTTGCAGCGACACGACCAGGGCGATCATGAATCATTTCACTGAGAGCTAGCTGCTTCTCAAAGCGAGTGATGGCATCGTTGAACTGACGGTTGGCGCGAAAGGCATGGCCGATATTGCCATAGCCACGGGCAGTCAGCGCGGCATCCTCCACCTCCTGCGCCAAGGCGAGCTCGCGTTCGTGTGCCTTGATGGCATTGGGAAACTGGCGCACGGCCACGTAGCATTTGCCCAGGTAGCGGTAGCAGGGAAGACGACGACGGGCATCAACGGTTCGGGCATATTGGAGGGCCGCCCGAAAATAGGGGATGGCTTGGTGAAACTGTCGCCGGCGTAAATGACGGCGACCGACAATGGCGAGCGCGACGAAACGCTGGTCGCGTTCCTTGTCCGACAGAGCGCCAGGCATTGGGCGCTTTGGATTGGCTCCATTGTGTGCAGCAACGGCGACGGAAACATGCCCACTATCTGGGTGCTGTTCACGGGCATCACGCTGGCGATCGCGCTCCATTTGAGCAGCACTTTTGAAGATGCCACCATATATACCCTTGCGACCAGCAATGGCCGTGCGCGGCTGGCTCGACTCTGCGACTGTACCGGCGGCGTGCGGAGAAGCTTTGTCCTCCAGCGCTGCATTCAAGTTGGCACTGCCTTGGCGTCGGCCCATGAAGTGGCCAGAGTGGGCATCCACCGTGTCTCCCGCCCCACCAGAGGGTGGGGCGGCGGTCGGGGCGGCCTCAAAGTCAAAGCTGCCATTTTTGCGACCCATGCTGCCCAATGGTCTGTCAAGATTCCACTGCGCCCGGCCCAACAGGCACACTTGGTCTCGAGGATATCACAAGGAAGCCGTCGTTCGACTCGCACCACCCATGGAGGAAAAACACAAACAACACAGCCAATGCGAAGACTTGTGAATCATCTGAGTTGAAGGGGCGTAACGCAGAGATCGTCGACGCAGCCTCTGTGAGAAAGCCCGCAACTGCATACAGAGCAGGGCCAGGCTCAACACACGGCGCCAAAGCCAAGCCCCAAACAACACCAGCAGCGACGAGACGCAACGACCAATGACCAGTGACCGATGACCGATGACCGATGACCGATGATCGATGATCGACGAGACGTGTTGGGGGCGACGAGCATCGGTCCAAACCCAGCCAGCTTGCCAGGCAATAAAAATGATGACAATTCATTACCAACTGTTAACTTCTCGCTTGGCAACAACGGTACGGTTCCAGTGCAAACACCAAGGGAGGCAGAGGGGAGCATGGCAACCGCAGAGTATTCAGAGAATCAGCTGAAAGGTGAACGATAACAATGATGGAAATTAACTGGTTTCAGAGAATTGACGAGAAGCTGTCGCGAATCAGAGAATTGATACGACTGTGAACCGTACGCGAAAGAAAGCACGGCGGTTCATTTTTGCACCTCTCTCGATCAAACGGCAGCAGGTGAGTTGTGCCCTGACGTGCTCACGCGAAACTCATGTGCTGGTCCGGTCGCCGTTGAAGGACGGGTCTGAACTTGCGTACGCTCTGGCTCTGACGCTTCCTCGATGCCTGACTCCGGCAGGATCGAGACTAGACGGGGCTGACACTTGAAGTTGTTGAAGTTGCGTGTCATGTTCACAAAGTGAAAACAGAAGAGTACAACGCGGCAACCGGCGGCCGCGCTTCGATCGAGAGGATTGACTTCTTCTCTTGACTTCACCTCAAACTTGCCATCGCCTGTATACCTACAACCTGTTTGGAGCGAGCCGGCTGCTCTTTGCCTTAACAAGTCGTGCCAAGCCGCAAGCGAGAACCCTCCTCGCCACTCTCATTCCTGAAGCAGCCATGGTATGCAGCTGCGCAGATCGGCGGGCTTTAGATCACTGCTATCGCTCCCCTGTGCCTTCTGACAAAGATGACTGTTCCCTCTTTAGGCACAGAACGAGCAGATCACGCGTCGCGTGCGCGTGCGTACTGGCCCTCGTTCTCACCTCGGCCTGCGCACTGCCTCCTCAACTTCACATCTTATCCTCTTTGTCCTGGCCTCTCTGTTTGATCCGAGACAGGATATTTTTGTAGCCTACGACCGGGATGGAGATGGCAAGCTAGAATTGCTGGAGCTTCAAAGTGCCCTGCTTAGTTTACCCACGGCACTGCGTCTCTCTCAAGAGGACCTCGACGTACGACCCCCCTGCCCTGCGCTTGTGCGGGCATAAACACTTGTAGGCAAAGCCGATCAAACTCACCGCCACTATCACTTGGGCTCTCAGAACCTCTGCAAAGCCATTGGTCTAGGCAACAGCGAAGCGACAATTGGCATTGACCATATCCTCGCCAACCTCTGCACAGTTCGTCGGGGCATACTGACAAACGCCTCTCTTGAATGCTTGAATGCTTGACTTGCTCCGCTGCAGATAATCGCGTCGTTCTGTCGTTCCATTTCGTAGCATCTCGTGTCCACACTGGGATCTAGACCTGAGCAAAAACAGGCCCCGTGGATTGAGTTTTATCATCCCACTGAAGGGCCGGCCTTTCTGCACCTGGTTCGAATGAGCCTGCGCCTTCACCTTTTCTTTTTTTTTATTTGCACCCCACCTTCGTTTTCTCACAGCATGTCGCTACATCTACACCTTACCACTGACAGGTCAAGGGCACCGTCAGCCTAACAACCCCCGATGACTTTGTGTTGACTCGCGATGACATTGTGGCCGATGCCGTCCTTACCCATTTTGCCGTGCGTGCCCCAGCGCCAGGACCATGAGTTGGCCAGCAGTCTTCCCGCTCTCGCTCGCTCCCCTTTTGAACCCTAACATCACCTATTCTATCATTTGCAACCTTTTGACAAAGCAGAAACGCGATACAGAAGGCTTTGGCGTGATTCCGGTGACCATCCTATCTGTCGATGTAGGTGGGAAGGGACAGATGCCTGTTTTTTTTTTTTTTGTTTTTGTTTTTTGTTTGTTTGTTTGTTTGTTTTTTTGTATGGTGCCTATCACGGGTGCCTCTCGTGCCTCTCAGGCATTTTTACTCACCTGGTCATGTGTCTCGTGGCTATACACAGCTGCAAACCCAGGAACTGGGCTTGTTTTTGCAAGCAAATGAGGTGGAAGCAATTCTGGCAGCACACCCCGCCGAACCCGATGGTAACACCATCAACTACTCGAGTCTTGCCCCAGCCGTCTGTGACTACATCATGCAGCTCTACGCCGGGCGCGACGCCCACCCAGGTCAGTTGAAGTGGCCGTTGACGGATGGATGCCATGCCAAACTCACAAAACACTCTTTGCCGCTCCCACACGTCCTTGTTTGTTTAGGTCATTGGGCCCGTTTGCACACGCATCACCATGGAACATATTGGTTCAACAAGATGACCGGCGTAACGCAAACTGACGTGCCCGTGGAGGTCCTAACGGCAGCTCAAGGTGCCCCAGGCGGATTCATCCCTAACATTGGTAAGTAGTGGCAGCACTGGACTCGCAAACTTTTGTTGTGCTGATGCGCCTTCTTTGTTCTTACTCACCTCCCACTCCTCCACTGCCTCCACTCGCCACGGCCCTTCGTAGTCGATGAAAAGCTAGTTGCCAAATTGAACGAGGCCCTGCAGCTTTCCAACAATGCTGTAGCTGCCGCTGCCTCGGCGTCGGGAGTTGCTCAGCAAAATGCCTCATCCGCTTCGGCTGGCGCCGAGGTTGGTTGTCGATCGGTGTCTCCTTTTTTTATTCTTTTGAGTTATATTTTGGCTTCCTTCTTCGTTTGCAGCTTTTGCCAGAAAAGGGCCTCCATCCGCACATTTGCGCTTTGCAGGCTCACTCACACCGATTGCCGGCGCGTTCAGGAGATTGCGCGGCATCTCGCCGAGATTCAACAACTTCGCACCACAAATGCGGAACTGCAGACGCGTGTCACGCAACTTGAGGACCATATTTCACAACTCAAAGCTGAGAACACAATATTATCATCTCAACTGGCCGGCAAGACGCAGGAATGTGATAGCCTGCGCCAGGGGCAAAACAAAGAACAGGCTGATATGAGCGGCATCATTGCTGAACGCAATCAGTTGCGGCAGGACAAAGCCCAGCTTCTTCAATCTCACAAAGCCAAGGCGGGAAATTTGGAGGCCTCGTTGGCCCAGGCCAATGAAACGAAGAAAACGCTCCAGTCTCGCGTGACTGAGCTGGAGGCAGAGAACAAGGTCAGCCGAGTTTGCAGTCGGTTCCCTCGTTGCGCACTTGCACACCTAGTCGGAAGCATCATCCATCAACTGATTACATCCTCGTCTTCCATCTAGAACCTGCAACAAGCGCTAGCCGCGGCCAGTGCGTCGGTGACGGCCGCGCGTGATCAGCTGTCAACTTCCGAAAGCCGTCTTGGCACGGTAAACGATCTCGAAGCGGACAAAGCCAAGCTTCACAAGCAGCTTCAGGTGTGTCTCAAGCAAGCTGCTACAAGGGCTTGGCTTTGCGCCTGTCCAAGTTTTTCTTTCAATTTTTTTTTTTTTTTTTTTAAATAAATGTTTTGGATTCTTTGTGAGTCTAGGATGCGAGAGCTTTGAGTGAAGAACGCCAGCGACAGTTAGCCATCGCTCGACGCCAGCTCAAAGACTTTCAAGCGGAGAATGTCTCAATGAGCAAGGGCCAAGCTCATCTGTCTCAAACTCAACAAGAACTGGAGGCGCTGCAGACAGCAATGGAAACAACAAAGGCCTTTCTTGCCACGAAAACCAAACTCATCTCCAACAAACAGGCTCGCATCCGTGAATTGGAGGACCAAGGTAAGGCACAGATTAAGTGGCGAGCGTGCATTGAATAATATTCGGCCTCCTTACGCGAATCTGTATGGGTGCAGTGGCTCAGCTCGAAGCGCAAGACAAGCGGCGCCAAAAGGTCTTGGAGGACTTGGTCAAGCGGACCGCATCAATGCATTCTCGCGTGCGTCACCTTGCCTTGTCGCCTTCACTGAGGTGTACAAAACCACCCTTGTTTTTTTCTCTCGACAGGGCACATCTTTGACCCGTTGGTTTGATTTTGTGTTAGCATGATCGCGGTGCGCATAACGAGCTTGAAGAGCTGGTGTACGGTGATCGCGCACGCCCGGCATCAGCGTCGCCAAACCCCAAGGCTCAGGCACAGGTCAGCTCAACACGCGCAAAGCACGCTAGAAGGCTGCTTTTCACTCATCTTTCCTCTTGTGAATGCACGCTTCGGCACACTCTGGGGTGTGTCTGAAATAGACGCATTCACCAGTCGTGGATGATGCTGTGATGATGCTGTTGAACAACGTTGGTGCGTTGCCAACGAGCCCAAAAAGTTGGTCCAACAGCTCTGGACCTGGCCGCTCTTCCACACGCGGCCAATCAGTGACAACCTTGCCGCGAATCCATCGCATGCCCTCCGAAGAAGTGAGCACCAGTCCTGCTTCAACAGTCTTCACTGCCCGCTCCTCGCTGACGTCTTCGCTTATGGGCTTAGGATGAGGTTGCGAAATGTTCCATTAAAGTTGGCGATCGGGTGACCGTTCCTGGCCCACGCGGTGCGGTTACTGCCAGCGCTTGCTCGGCCGTGGTCAAATACGTGGGCCGCTTGGACAATGATGTGCCAGACTACAACTTGTACATCGGCGTCAAGCTAGATGACCCAATCAGTGATACGGATGGCCTGTTCAAGGGCAAGCGCTACTTTACCTGTCCCGACAACCATGGTCACTTTTGCCCGGTCGACGACGTGCTTCAAGTCGTGTCTTCGCGAGTGAGTCGCGCACTGCACTCTGCCAGTACTCCCATTCTTTTGTCATCTCACCCCTCCCCTTTATTTTTTGCTTGGGTTCCAAAGGGAAAGCGAAAATCAACTCGCCGTGAGAACGGGCGCAGCTAATCGATTGATTCGATGGCATTCCCTCTTGCGTCCTGACTGCGCGTAGCATTCTAAAACACCGTGCCGTATTTTGCCCCCATGCCACTTTGCTTATTGATCCATACTCCGATGCCCTTGCTCCACGAGGTCCTGGCTCGGATAAAAATCTCGATTTAGAATAAATTGATCTGGCCATCCACTGGAAGCACATTGCACCACATACACAGCAAAGGGAGAAGACAACTCAAGACTGAGAAGCTTGAATGGCCTGCGCAGCAGGAGAAGCTCAAGAACTACCCCGCCCTCGTTCAAGAATGTGGCATAACACAGTCAGTCAAACGGCAAGCAAAAACGGAAACTTGTTGCTGATGAAACCGGATAAATTCGGCCAGGCTATCAAAGGGCATCTTATCACTCCGCAAGTACTTGGAGCCCACGCGATCCACGACGTGATGGCGCACCTATCCAAGCAAACGAAGCGATAAAACAGCCATCTCAACCAGAGTGGACGTCGAAATAGTGAGGCGCAGTGTGCGGCAAAGACGTACAATCCCAGGTGCTTCTTGCACGGCCAAACGAAGGACATGAGGCTCGCCAGCCTTTTGACGAACAATAAACACGCCCAGCTTTTTATCCTTGCTAGTTTCACGCACCAGGGCCTCGGCACCCTATTCGACACATGCAAGATTGAGTTCAAGTCCGATGCAACACGATCAGTTCAAGCACAGACTCGGCACGGTGGACGTGACAATTTTTATGCGGACCCACCAGCGTGGTCAAATTGAAGTGAACGCAAGGGTCGGTTTCGGCTTCCATCGGCTCCGCCATTCTGTATGATGAGTGAGATTGACCGTGAGTCAGAAAAGCAAGCACCGATAAAGATCATAGCATCGGGCGCTCAGGCGAAGCCAAACCTACTCTTGGTCACGCCGTAAAGCAATTTTGCCTTCCTCCCCTTGCATGTCATCCAAGTTGGAGTAGTTCACTCCACTGCCGGCGCCAGCGGCAGCCATGGTCGCCACGTGATCAATATCACTGTAGTTTGAACTTGCAGCAGCCGCTCCCCGCACTTGAGTTGGCCCGCGCTCCCACGGCGAGGCGTCGTCCATCATTTCCAAGTGCGCATACACACTCTACATGATACATCCGGCTCGAAATGAGGCGGAACAGCGTACACACACGGACTGAGGAGATGGATTCACACGGCCAGATCGGCCGAAATGCTCAACCAACTCACGCTGGGTGGGGCCACCTTGATCTCCTGTGCCGGATCAGCGTACAATTGACTGCCCTGTTTATGTAAAGCATGTCACACTTGTCATAAGACGGCCATTGCAAGACTGTGTCTCTTGGCACATGTCCAGAAGCACACAAACCTGATTGGGTTTGTTGACCTGTGAGTAGATCACGCTCGCATCTGGACCGTCCTGCTCAATCAATACCAAAAAAAGGGTCAGTTTGGTGCAATCAGAAATGCAACGAGAGACATGCCAAGCTCAGGAACGTAATGTGCGTCACACTCAGAACGGACAGTGCTAGCATAAACGGGAGCCCCATAGGCAACCATCGGCGGCTCCTCGTAATTGGGTCCACCTCGGGCTCCCATGTCGACCTCGGCATAATTGGCAAACGAAGAGGTTGTCGTCTAACAGGATACAGGCATTAAGAACAGCAGCCACTACAACACCGATAGGCTAAGCAAGCCACACAACTCCTATTTACCTGAGAGTTTGAGAGATCATTGACTTGCGAATATGCCTACACAACAAGGAGAAAAGCCGAGCGCAAGGGTGGTTGACCACACAAAAATTAAACATACTCCACCTGAAGAAAACGTTATATATTTTCAAACGCCAAGGCGCGATGCAGAAACTAACCATCTCTTTGCCAGTGCCGTGCGGCTCAAAGAGTCGAGGGTCCACAGGCACACTGATGCCATCGCCATAGCAATCGTCATACAAGGAAACGATCAGTCAGTGTCATGCGACATAGAACATCAAAAGTAAACACTCCTCTTCTCCAAGTAAAAAAAGGAAAACCAAAAATCCTGACTCTCACACATACCTGTTCCGTCGATCCCCAGCCGAGAACATCTGGTTCTGATGCATCGTGAGATCGTTGCCGCTAGGCTTGTCCTTGCCGCGCTTGGCCAGTGCCCCGCTCCCGCAGCAACAGCACACAACCACCACCACAATCACAATAAACGCAACCCCCCCGGCAGCAGCCCCAATAATCACAGCACTGCCGCCCGATGAAGAGCTCGTCTTGGCTACACCACAACAATGTTGGCCAAAAACGTCAGCTCGCAGCCAAACCCCACAAACAACCCACAGCCCACACAACCACACCCTCAAACTCCCGCGTGTGCGACTCACAACCCCGCACAAGCTTCACGGCCAAAACACAAACAAAGCACACACAAAAATAAAAGCAGTGTTTCACTCCACACCTACCTGATGTGCACACACGATTCGACGTCGCCGTGCAGGCCTCAGACTCAACCTGATCAGCCGTGCAGGTCACGCAAGACTGACAAGACCGCCGGCCAGTACTGCTGGAAAACGTCCCTGCCTCACACGCCGTACAACTGTTGTTGCTCACCCCCGCTGTTCCAGCCGGGCAGCCCCTGCACGGCGTCGTCGCGTCATTGTCCTCATCCCAAGTCCCCAGCGGACACGCATATGCCGCACAAGGCCCCGTCCGCACCGCTCCCGTGTCAAGATAGTGTCCCGGTCCACACGCCACGCACGCAGTGCTCGTGTCGCTATCAACATCCGTCGTCCCCGGACGACACGCCAACGTACTGCATGGTCCCACATGAACCTCGTCAACGGCCAGAAACGTCCCAGGGTCACAGGTTACGCAAGGTGTGCTGACATTGGCGTCCGCGTCCGTGGTGCCCGCACCGCACGCATAGTCGCTGCAAGGTCCCGTCCGCACTTCAGAGGGGTCCAGGAACGCCCCCTCACTGCAAGTAACACAGGGCGTGCTGACGTTGCTGTCGTCGTCCGTGGCTCCGAGTGCACACGCAAACGCTGAACACGGCCCAACACGCTCCGTTGCGGCATTCAGGTACGTCCCCGCACTGCAAGCTACACAGGCCGTGCTCACGTTGCCATCGTCGTCCGTGGTCCCGGCTGCACAGAGGTAAGCATCGCACCCCTCTGTTCGCAGGACGGAGGGATCAAGGTACCGCCCGCCGCCGCAAACCTTGCAAGGTGTCGTTGGATCATTGTCCGCGTCAGTCGACCCTGCCGGACAAGGCACGCACGTCTCAATGGGCTGGTTGACCGCCGTGCTAAACGTCCCACCCAAACAGGGCGCACACTCACGATCACTGGTCGACGTCGGCGACGCCACCACATAAGTCCCAGCACCGCACGTCCGAATAGATTGGCACCGACCCGTCCCCATGTTCGCAAACTGGCCGTTCGGACAAGTCGAAACACACGCACTTCCCGTCGCCAAGTACGTGTACTGGGCTGGGTCAGCCGGAATGCTTCGTCCATTATTGGGAACACGGCTGGCATTGTTGAAGCACGACAGGCAGCCTGCAAGGTCACATGTGTAGCATGATTCCCCGCAAGCAAAGCAGGGGGTAAAGTCGGCGACGTAATCGGCTGGACATGCGCCAGGGCAAGTGCCATTGGGATAAGCGTCAATACCAATCGCACATTCCGTGCATACCACCACATCGCCCTCGCTCTCATACGTACAGGCATCGCAGTTCTCCGGACAGGCCATGCACTCCGAATCCCTTTCAGAAGTTGGTCCACAATCATAGCGAGCCGTCTCCCCGTCCGAACAAATCTCACAGCGTGCGCAGGTGCGGTCGCTGGTGGCAGTTGCCACAACACTGATGTAAAAGCCAGCCGAACAGTTTTGCACCGCCATGCACAGCCGATCCGTTGTCGGCGTCGGTGCCAACGACTCATACTCGCTTTCCCTGCAGACTGTCACTGCAGCACACAGCCGGTCCGCGGTGGCATTGCCAGAAAAGCTCGCATACTCTGTCCCACTGCTACAATTGCTAAACGCAGTACAGCTGCCTGCATTCGCTGCCACCGAATATCCTCCAACACAGGCCGCGCACTCACGATCCGACGTCGCAGTTGCGGCCACGCTCACATAAGATCCGGCCCCACAATGCTCCAAGTCCGCACAGGCGCGGTTCGAAGTAACAGTCGGGCTCTCGCTCTCATACTGTTCACTCGTACAGTTGAGCAGAGCCGCGCAACTCCGGTCGGCCGTGCTTTGTCCAGGAACCGACTGGTACTGGGCCAAAGTACAGGTCGTCATGGGCTTGCACGCTGTTTGATTGACTTCGTCTTGATAGTTGGTGCTGCCATCACAGTTCAGACAGAGCCCCAAACTCGTGTTGAAGTAGGTCCCCGTGTTGTTGCAATCTAACGCCGCGCGTGGGTGATCGCGGCAGGAATTACACAACGCAACAGGAAGGAAACAATGAGGGCTCATGGGCTCATGGGCTACAGTATAAAAAAAATGTGCGCCACTGGCGAAAAGAAGACGCCGCGCGCCAATACGCACCGGCCGTAACTCCCTCGCAATAGAGCGCAGCAACAGCAAAGTTTGCCACACCACTGGGCCGTCCCTGAAAACGGAGCCCCAACTGCCAGCACATCAAGCATCGCCGCAAACACACACACACACACACACACACACACACACACACACACACACACACACACACACACACACACACACACACACGCCAAACGATTGGGAAAAAAAAAAAAAAAAAAAAAATACAGATGAAAACAGTACAGAAGGAAAGCGTGCCGTGAGTCAAAGACTTCTTCCTTCGCATCGGCTTGAACCGTAGGCGGATCGAGCCAGCCAATCTATCAAACCTGGTAGTCGGCCGAAAAAGAGTCGAGGTACCAAGTGTTCAGGTAATACTACGCGGTGCGGCATGAATCAGGTCAGGCGTCAAAGGACGCGAGCGTCAGCGTACGCGCACGCGCCGTCAAGCCGGGCCTCAGCAGCAAGATGTACGGGAAACGCAGAACAAATAACGGCTCATTACATCATTGCGCTCAATGTCCAAGCGCTGTTCGTGAGTGCCAGCTAC